TTTATGGCCTCTGGTCATAAGAAAAAATAACAAAGTTTTATGGCTTTTAGCCATAAGAAAGACTAATAAAGTTTTATGGCTTCTGGCCACAGGGTAAAAAAATAAATTTTTATGGCTTCTGGCCATAAAATAGAAAAATTTAAACCATATGGTTTCAAGCCATTTAGGAAAAAAGAAAATATTCATAGTGTAGAAGAGAATAGATGATAGACGATAAATTATGAAACATAATACATAGTAATAATAAGAAGATCAGAATATTATACCTTCGTTAAAGCACTAGTGCTGAGAACGTGTTGTAAATCAAGAAGAAATAGAGAAGAGTTATATAGAGGAAGAGATGATCAACAAGAGAGAATATTTCTCATTCTATTTAAGGGAGATAATGGTAGATACATCGATATCTATATTCATATATAAGCTTGCCTGCTGATTCTCTGCGTCGTTATATGTTGGCTTCTCCGGGTTCGGCACTTCGACTCGACAGGAACCAAAGTTGGGATCACGATTAAGCACAAAGAAGAGAAGAAAGCCACATAGAACAGGTCCGCCTCCTCAGTGGTGTTTCTGTTGTATTTCTTTTCCGAAGGAATCTCCTCCGTAGAATGATTTCTATACTTGCAAATCAATACGACAAAGATGCTAAGCTATTAAATGGGACCCACAAGTCTCATGTTCATTCAGCCCGGGAGGTAATTTTGTGGCTTCTTATCTTTTTTTTAGTAATTATTATTTATGAATTTTGTTTTATTTTAATATTGTGAATTAAATTATATCATTTTAATATGACCGGTCCGACCCCGATCCGACCTCGGTCCGACCAGTAACTCTTGACCTGCTGTCTCGACCGATTTAATTCCCGGCCTGATTTTTTGTTCCTTGCATAAAACCTAAGAATAAGGATTCCATTAGAATTCTCAGTGTATGGGTATCTAAGTTATGATAAAAAGTACCTTATGACAAAAAAAAAATCATATTTATAAAACTAAATTTCAAGTATTTTATAAAATAAGAATAAATAATGTTCAGTGTCATAAAAATTATAAGTTATTAAAATTTTAATATTTCGTACGTCAGTCTCTAATTACAAGACATAATTTATATAACTTTCACCAAAAAAAATTTTATTTAAATACAGGTGTCAAAAAATAGTTAAATTTAGTTGATGTCTGAAAAATTTTGTGTGTATATTTCATTTATGTCCTCAATAATTAAGTGTCATCATTTAATGATATTTTTTATGTAACAAAAAATGCCCGCATTTTTTCACCGACAATTAAATGCCAGAGTAATGCAGGAAATTTTTTGTTTGTAAGTAATTACAAAAGATTATATAGACCTAGCATCCCTAAACATAGACATTAGAGCTGACCAGTCTTGTAATTGTAATTAGCATTCCAGGAAAAACATTTTGATTACATCTAGAAGTTTGTAATGTGGTCTATAATAAAAAAAATACAATAACGCTCAAGTCATTTCTTTGGCTTACACTGCATAACAAGTTACTAATGAAGTAAGAATGAAGAAGGGCATCAGTGAAACAATCTCTCGCATTTGGCGTACTTATGATATTGAGGATTTCTTACATGTTTTTCAGAATTGCGGGGAGATTAGGTCTTTATGGGTTTCAATTGTTGACCCCCAGTCCGCATAAGGGGTTCTTTAGTTGTGACTTTTGGAGTTTGTTGTTGTATGAATCTCAATGAAAAAGTGGGATAATGTGATGGATCCTAGAAAGAGGTCTTTGTCATTATTTGTTGGCTTATTTAGAAAGGACATAAAGAGAAAGTTTTTGAGAATCTTAATTCTAGTGTTCTTGGACTTTTAGCGAAGGTTATGGCCATTCTATCTAGTTTTAGTGCAGCTAAAGTACAGATGAATCAACTCAAAATTAGAGGTAGTATAATGATGAATGAGAACTGCACCTAGATGGAGTTGGAAGGGTGGGTGTTTATCAATGTTGACGGAGCTTACTCTCATAAGGATGGCACAACGAGATGTAGGGGGGTTATCAAAGATCATAAAAGAGATCCAATTGAAGTCTCTATGCTTAATTTACAAAATGGAGATCCTTTAACAACGGTATTTTGAGCATGTCTTATGGTCTTAAAAGGGCATGGGATGGGAATTATAAACAGGTATGCTTCAGAAATGATTCTTTGAATATAATTAAGCTTATCAAGGATGGAAATAATGATCTTTATGAACATTGGAATATGATTTTAGACAGCCATGCAATGCTCTAATGTGATTGGTTTGTTGATCTTCAGCACGTTTAATGAGAAATATGCTGGTCAATCGTGCTTTAGCGATGCCTCCTGTATTTCATTTAGTTGCTTTAGACGAGTTTCCTTTGTTTCCGTGTAATGTAAAGTAATATTATCTCCGATCCTAATTATAAAAGCTAGTTGACTAATTTGAAAAGATTAAAAAAATAAGTTTAGTTAATTATTTGTAATAAATATGTGTTGTCTTTCCTAAAATATTCTTCTTAATCAAGTGTATTAGTTAGAACTAATATTATTAGAAAGACTATCTAGGGAAAAAATGATAAATATGAGAGATAAAATGGATTGGGGTTTTATGTTTATGACTAAAATAAAAATTAAATAAGGTCTTATATTAAGGATCGGAGGTAATATTTACTACTTTCTTGTTTATTAAAAAAAAAAAAAGGAAAAGCTGAAATATTTAACAAAGTATATTATTTGTAAGTCATAAATTATATAAAGAGAAAGGTAAGCAAAATATTATTTATGTATATATAAAATTAAGAGGGATAAAATCGTTTACAAGTGGTTCATTTTTTGACATTATTAATGGATTTTTTGTTCTGCATTACAAGTGGTTTTAATTAAGTATCTATATTCTATTTCCATACATACGGTTACTATATTACAAATAAATGGGGTTTATTTAGTTTAGGTTATCTTCATTCTTAATTAGGATTTGGTTTATTGTATGGGAGCATTACAAGTGCCTCCATAAAAAAGGATTTAATTATTTTAAACTCTACTGATAAGTGAAAATTACGCAATGACAAGTTCTAAAATAAGGAATGAGAACATGTTCTCATTTGTTATTGGGATGCTTTGGTAATTTAATTTTTTTTTGGGAGCTCTTGGTAATTCTCCCTATTATTTTTGACTTCATAAAATTTTTTTGGGTTTATTTTTAATTTAATTTGCGTAATTTGTTCCGGAGTGAAATTGGTAATTTCGGTTCAAAATAAGAGGACGGCGTGCCCTTAACGTTATTATGTGTGTCACGTGATCCCCACCCGCCACAAGCCTCCCGCACCGCAACCCAACAAAACACCAAACCCGAAATCCTCACGTCCGTATCTTAAATATCCATGGACCACTCCGCACGATATCCGACCTACCCGCTCCCATTATATTATTATTATATAGTGATCGGTATGACGTGTACTAGGCGCCATACACACACCGTTTGGTCGCATAACGGAACACCCGGTAGGTCAACCGTCGGTGGTAATATCGTCATTTCCATCCTCGCATAGCGTGCCCTTTAGCTCATGTTGAAGTAGGTGGGCTTTTTTACTTCTCTCTTTTCTGGTGGACTATATAATATATTGTATTTTGTACCCTAAGTTTAATCATATTTTAATTTTAATTTTGATATTAGAGATGTTAATTTTTGGTCCAAAAAAAAATATTAGAGATGTTAACGAACTTGATTGCATTCCATTTAATTTTAAGTAAAAATCAAGCTAAAATTTAAGCCCTTTTGCAAACTACTAAAATATCAACATTTCATTTTGAATTTGTATTGAATTTTTTGTAGGTTTGCATTGATTTTATTTGTCTTGTATTTATTTATTTTTGAAGTGACTTTTGGTTTTTAGATTTTTTATTATTTTCTGGATTTTTAGTTACAGAACATTTTAATTTAATTATGATTTTTATAGCACTATAGATATTTAAAAGGAAAAATTGGTAAAAAAAAAAATCCCAGTTTGAAAATTTAATTAACTGAAAAGATTTGAACTTGAGTGAATGCAACTATAATCTGTGAATGTAAGATATCTTTAGCTGTGTGCAACATATTATTAATGATGCATACTATTCATCAATCTGTAAGTTATTTTTACATAGCCAAAAATATATTGTAGATAGCAAAAGATATTTTTCACTCACAAATCATATTTGCACTCGCTCAAATTTAGGTCTTCTTAACCAATTAAATTTTTAAACAGGAATTTTTTTACCAATTTTTCCTATTTAAAATTTATTTTAAATTAAATAAAAAGTTTAAAAAACAAAATATTGTTATTTGATTAATGCATTGAATTATTATTACAAGAACTTTCTCAATTATCAATCAAACTAAATCAAATTATTTAAATCAATTAGTTGATTTAATTTCTCACTTCCCTAATATAATGTCAACTTAGGTACTGCTTGTTATGAGAAAAATGAAAGAGGAAAGAGAAGGAAAATTTTTAATAAACTCTATTTAAAAAATTAGAGAAGTAGGACTTAAAAATTTTAATAAAGAAAAGTAATATAAAAGAGTAATAAAAATTAATTAAAAACTTTTAATTCTATTTTTTTAATTTTTTAAATTGAACTTACTGAAATTTTTCCTTCCCCTCCCCTCTTCTCATTTTTTGGACCCTTGGTCTTAATTTCAATAATAAAATTTAGCGTCAAATTTTAAGTTTCATTTTTTAATTTTAGTTTTTTTTTTCAAAATTTTAGCTAAATGAATAGAATTTGAAATTCCGATGGAATTAAACTTAGATTACAAAAAAGTATAAACAAGTCATAGGCATAAGGACGTAATAAATAATGGCTTATTTTGGTTTATAATTTGTTCAGCAAAGTAAAATACTAATTAATTATTTAATTTAAGTTAATTGGATTGGATTAGATTTCATGTTAGGTAATAAATAATAATTAAGCCAAGGTTTTATATGTCTCAGATTCTTTCTGGGTTGGAATTAATACAGGCGTTGAGTCCGTGCATTTCAGAGTCACAGGCTCCGTTGTGTGTGACAAAGTTGAGGAAAAAGGGGGCGAATCGTGGAGGGAACAGGGCCTGACCCCATCCCAAGAGATATTTGAAGGAGGCGGTGAGTTTCCTTCTTGTGATCTTCGATTTGGGCCTCACCCCGTAATCTCTTCGAAGGCGCCTGGAAGTAAATTTATAGTTTTTCTGGCCCTTGATTCTCGAACTTGATCACGAAATTTCTATGAAGTTTTGTGATTTTTAATATTTTAGTTGAGATTGGAGTTTTGGAAGTTTCGAGACTTAAGATTTTTTGGGTCCTACTAGTAGTTTCCGATGAAGTTTCGTCTATGTTCCGTTCTGTGTTTCTCTATTGGAAGCCGTCGTTGTTTCTAGTGGGGTTCTTGTGAAGTTTTCGTCCTGTTTTATGAATTTTCTGAGGGGATAACTGAACCTTTTTTAATCTCTTTTGCCTGATTTGATTTTCTGCAGTTATTGATGTGCATCGGTTTTGATAGTTCATAAAAATAATTTTTTAATTTCGTGTGATTTCTTGTTGAACACTTTATACACTTTTTCTTCTCTTTCCTTTTTTGTGTTGCAGACAGTTTTTGTGGTTCGAAGATTGTAGTGGACCGGTCTGATATCGGTCTGCTCCTTTTAAAATCGTGTATGATCTCAGCGTTAAGAAAAGAAACCTAATTTGGGTTTGAAGTTCCATATTTCAGGTTCGCTATCTTTCTTGCCTGCACGGATGCATTTCTGATGTCTTCTTTCTTGCGTCCTTCTGCTTATTTGTGCGTGTGAGAGTCAATCATCTTAGAGCTGATCTTATATGCCCTCAAACATATAAAGAAAGAGTGAACAGGGCTTAGAATTGGGGCAATTAGATTCCCCTTTCTGTTGAAGATTAACAGATAGTGGAGGCATATCTCATTTGCTTTGTCTTTCTCACATGCTTGGTGTATTAACTATGACGACTGCCTCTAGTTTGTTTTTCTGCCCTTTTTTCCTATGTGTTGGAAAAGCTGGTTCAAGCAAAATCCTTATGATAAGATTCTTATTTGGTTTGATTGCTCCAGTTGGAAGTTGGATGGAGATTCAAAATCAGGTTTAAAACTTGCCAAAAGATGTTTCTGACAAAAGTCTGGTATTTTGGGCTGCTTTAGTTCCAGTGAGGTTTCTCTGTGAGAATCTCCTTTTTTAAAATATACCTTCCACTTTATGCTTTTCCCTATCTCTCTTCTTTCTCTTTTCTGTCTTAACCTGTAAGAATTGAAGCGGGACTTTAAATTAAAGTTTTGTTTATTTGCAGTTCTTCAGTAGCCTAAAGCTTATGAGTTGTGGCTCAGATAACTGAGTGGAATATTTTTCTTTGTTTCAAAGTTGATGACATACTACATTCTGGGGCTGTAAGTGTATAGAGCAAATGTCCTTCCGCAGTATAGTTCGTGATGTAAGGGATGGGTTTGGGAGCTTATCGAGGCGGAGTTTTGAGGTGAGGCTTCCTGGCCATCATAGGAAGTCTCAAAGCTCAGTACACGAGTTGCAGGACCAAGCTCCTGTCATACAGAACAGCCGTTGGGCCAGCCTTCCGCCAGAGCTTCTTCGTGATGTTATCAAAAGATTGGAAACAAGTGAGAGTACCTGGCCTGGCCGTAAACATGTAGTTGCTTGTGCTGCTGTGTGCAAGTCCTGGAGAGAAATGTGTAAAGAAATTGTGAGCAGTCCAGAGTTCTCTGGGAAGATTACTTTCCCTATTTCCCTTAAGCAGGTGAGATATGATATTTTCCATTCTGCTTCATAAATAGTATCTCCTCAAGCTTAAAGAAATGAAAATACGGAGGGGGGGGGGCATTTTTTGTTTGTTCTTATGTGATTACTTTTATTTTTTGACAGCCTGGATTCAGGGATGGAACCATCCAGTGTTTCATCAAGAGGGACAAATCTAATTTGACATACCATCTGTTCCTTTGCCTTAGTCCTGGTAGGCTAACGTTTTTACACTTTTGTCTACAATATTTGTGTTGAACATGATCACTTGTTCTCTTGGAATTATATAACACAAGTTAATTTAATCTCTATGCTTGAATGTGATGTAAGTTATTACAGTGTTTGATTGATGTTGAGAATGGCATGATCACTTATCTTGGAATTTTAATGCAATGCAATTTAATTTTAACCTTCGAATATGATGTGATTTTTTACACAATATTTGATGTCTAATATGATAGGCTGATAGATATTAATTATATGCATGTTTCCTTGTAAACCTAATGGACTTATTTTTGTCGTCTAATTTGTTACCTATGTTTCTTACTTTAATATGTCTATTTTCTTCAGCTAAAAAAATATCGTTATTTTCTGCTTAATTTCTTGTAACTTAAATTTTTATTTGATATGATGGGGAATGCAATGATTTTCTGTTATGTGAAACCGTTGGAGACTGCATGCTGGTTGAATAACCCAATCCATTGTCTGATCTATTTGTTGGCACATCCTATAAATTCTGATGGCATTATACTAAATGCAAAGGAATGGGATTTGTACACGTATGGATATAGATGAAAATCTGCTTAACCGAATCTTCTACTATGGTGCTTCGAGGAAATAGGTATTTCCAGCGTGCGGAACCTAATTAAAATGAAGGTTTCACTAGAGCTAGGTCAATCTTTTTCCTTTATGCTCTTCTGTTGCTTGGCCAATGTGGCTTTTGGTCCTTTTACGGTTAAAACCTTTCTAGCTTTATCAAAGACTGATTCCACTGCTACTTACAAGATATTTAACTCTGAATTTTTCTGATAAGAAACCACTTATTGTCCTTCGAAATCTGTATTGCCATTCATTGAGTAGCAAATTCATCTGTGATTCTGTGCTAGTAAAAACGTGTTCTAACTTTGGTAAAATAATAGTGACTGAACTGGGCATTTAAGAGGTCAAATAGTTTCAACAGTTCCTTAATATTATTATTTACTAACAATTGAATTTGTTGTTACCATAAATAAATAATTAGGCATTCGTTGAACAATTGCAAGGTCCTGGTTCTCTGTCTCTGACTTTCTGATTTCAACGTTGTTTTTCTGCAGCACTGCTTGTTGAAAATGGAAAGTTTCTTTTATCGGCTAAAAGGACAAGAAGAACTACGTGCACAGAGTATATTATATCAATGGATGCAGATAACATATCAAGATCTAGTACTAGGTACATTGGAAAATTGAGGTATGTGCTTGGATGTAGCTGATGCTCCTGAAGCACAACACACACGCGCACACATAATCTCCCACCTGTCTATATGTGATAGAAATTCCTTTATATTTCTATCTAATAACTATTAATTTTCCCTTGTGTCAGGTCAAACTTTCTTGGCACCAAATTTATAATTTATGATACACAGCCTCCCTACAATAATTCTCAGCTGTCTCCACCTGGCCGAAGTCGTAGGTTTTATTCAAAAAAGGTTTCCCCAAAAGTCCCTAGTGGCAGCTACAATATTGCTCAGGTCTCTTATGAGCTTAATGTGCTAGGTACTCGTGGACCTCGTCGAATGCACTGTACCATGTACTCAATCCCCACATCATCTCTTGAGCCGGGTGGCATTGTCCCAGGCCAACCTGAGCTTCTTCCCCGCTCCCTTGAGGATTCGTTCAGAAGTATATCCTTCTCAAAATCAATTGACAATTCGACTGAGTTTAGCAGCTCTAGGTTCTCGGACATAATGGGTCCCGGAAACGAGGAGGAGGAAGGCAAGGAGAGACCATTAGTTCTTAAGAACAAGGCACCAAGGTGGCATGAGCAGCTGCAATGTTGGTGCCTAAACTTCCGGGGGAGGGTGACAGTTGCATCTGTAAAAAATTTTCAGCTGATTGCAGCAACTTCACCACCTGCACCGGGTGGCCTGACACCAGCACAGCCATCGCAGCCTTCGCAATCTGATCACGACAAGATCATTCTTCAGTTTGGCAAGGTTGGCAAGGACATGTTCACCATGGATTATAGATATCCCCTATCAGCATTTCAGGCTTTTGCCATTTGCCTGACCAGCTTCGACACAAAACTGGCATGTGAATAGCGACATGAGAGAGATATGGTAAGGAACAAAAAATAGAATTCAATCTTTACATTTAGGTATTTATAGGATGAAGAAGTATGCAGTTGTTGTACAACTCATAGTTAAATAACTGTAAAGTACAGGACACTGCTCTTGCTTTTCTTTTGCTCTCCTTTTTGGTTTCGTATGCTTTAATCTGCCTTTGTCAAACTCTGTTCTTCTTGTTGTATGGTCCATGGGGATGAAGGTGTAGACTCCCAGTTTGTGTATAGAAAATTTAGTTGCAAAATTTGTGTTTTTGGTCGTATGTGCAATAATTCTGATTGCTTCTGCCAAACTTCGGTTGGTTCTAACGATGCCATCTTACAGCCCGTTTGGTTGGATTCTATGAGAGAAGATTACATGTAATCCTTGTGTAATGGGTTGATTCATACGTTTGGTTGGGCTTATGTAATGTAAAAGAGATTACATTTTGTAATCCTGATTACATCAAATGAATGTATTTGGATTACACTACTAAGACTGATGAATGGAGATACAGACTTCTTGTAATCGAGCTAAAAAGACAATATTGCCATTATAATTTTTAAAATTGACCAACATGCCCATAGATAAACCCTATTGATAGCCTACCCATTTAGCCATTCTCTTTGCCGCTACTCCTATCGTCTTTGTCGTTACTGCTATCACCTCGGAACAGAAGTCATCGCTACTTCATCGCTGTTGCTGCTGTTATCATCTCCATCAGCAACCATTTTGTTGCTACTGCCATTGTGTCCGTTGCCAGACTAATATTTCATTCATTAACCCTGTTATGTTTCTTTTACATTGAAGTCACGTCTTTTTCTTTCTCAAAATTCCAGTTTTTGAAGGCTTTTTTGTTTTGCTTTCATGGAAGTTTTGATTTATTATTGGCAATCACACACACTGCTACATATTATTACTAAACTTTAGTTGAATGATTGATACATATTTGGTGATATATATATGTATGTATGTATTAATTAGTTGCAAGGGAGAATTTGATACTGGGAAAGCATACATATATATATTATTATATTTGTTTGTGTATTACATACTCTATTTTTTTTTTGGCTTGAACTTATTATTATATATATGGATATATAGGGTTATCATGTATATTTGGAGAAAAAATAAAGAACTTTAAATTATTATACTCTTCCGGTCCTTAATATAAGACCTATTTAACTAATTTGATTAGATTAAGGAAGTTAGATAAATTAGTTAATTATAAGAAAAGTGACACATCTTTTCTAAAATATCATAATCATCTTTTTTAATACTCTCTCCCCCCTTCTATTTGATTCTAGTTGAGAGAGTATCAGTAAGGGTAATTTAGAAAAAATTAATAAATATAAGAAATGGGTCTTATATTTATGACCAAAATCAACTCAAGAATTAGGTCCTATATTAAAGACCGGAGGAGTATATACATTTGTATATGTAAATAAGGGTAATTTTGTCTTTTGATACATTATTTTTACCTATTATCATGTTCTTTGTAATCCAACTAAACGTTTTTATGCCTATGCATCATCTTTCTTCAATGATGTCTCAAACAAACTTATGTAATTACTATTCCATTACATTGTATTACATTCCATTACATTGCCAATGATTCACTGAACCAAACAGGCACTTAAAGTGGCCTTTTTCAGCAGGTCTTCCTCCTAAAGAAGACAATAATTGTACATGTTTTTAGTGCGTTATACCGTTTAAAGAATTAGCCGTTTTGTTTACAATATGATTTTGAAATTTGTCATTTGTATTTTATATTAATAATTCGATCATGAAACGCGCGCACATGCGCCTCACGCTTCACTATTTGAGCAATGTGCAACTTAAAGTTTCTTTTTTCCCCCTTTTGTTCTTCCTCTTTGAATATTCCTTTCGGTATCATATGGGTATTTTTTACAAGGTGTTTTTAGTATTTTTCTTTTTATAAGGCATTAGGTTATTTTGAGGACTATTAAATAGTTTTTTTCCCGTACATGCGAATTTAATAAAGATAATGAAAGAGAGTAAAAATTAATATGTTGAAGTTTAGTTAATAAAGATCATAGTAAAAGTAATTTGAATTTTATGATAAATTTAATATTTCTAACCATCTTTGTTGATACGGGTGAATTAGGAATAACTCATACTCCTTCAGTTTTTAATATAAAATTTATTTAACTAATTTGATTAGATTACGGAAGTTAGGTAAGTTAGTTAATTATAAAAAATGTAACATGTTTTTCTTAAAATACTATAATCATCTTTTTTAATACTCCATCTTCCTCTTCTATTCGGTTATAGTTGAGGGAGTATCTATAAGGGTAATTTAGAGAAAATTGATAAATATAAGAAATGAATCTTATATTTAGAATCAAAACTAACTCAACAATTAGGTTCTATATTAAGAACCAGATAAGTATTTGATATCAGATGTAACACGTGAATGGTGTGTTTGGCTATTTGGCTTATCTATCCAGTGGCTTTAACAATTGGAAATGCCAAACACTGTATTTAGTGGAATATGAATCGGAAAACATTGCTTTGTGTTACTTCCTTGCAATCATGGCTCTTGTTATGCGGAATCTATAATGCAAGTTGTGCTTTCGATTGCACGCATATGTGAGCCATGAATTTGTGATAAATGTAATTTTTATGAAAAACTACATTGAAGTATCTGATGAAAAGTGAATTATTAATAATATAAACTTGATTTATTACTAATAACCTCACAAGTTTTTTTTTCTTATCATGGGAAAATTTGTAGAAAATACTCGGATAAACGCTAAGCCATAAGCATAATTGATTCCCCCCCCCCCCACCCAAAATCAGTTTCTCCACAAGTTTTTTTTTTTTTAAGGATTTATTGATAACGAGTCAAATTCAGGTTTCCATTAGTAATTAACTAACTTACTTGAGATTTATACCTAATTTTTCCTAATTATATATCCTTGTCCAATCTTAGAATTTTGGCCGTAAGATCGTTCTTCTGCCGGATATTTGATGAGGGATATCTTAATACACTTCTGGATACAACAAATTAGAAAATAAATATCCAACAAATAACATTTACACCACAGGGAGAAAAGCCAGGCATGTAGGTTCACAAGATGAAATTATTTGTTTTTTCTTTTTTAAACATACTTTAATATTAATTTAACCAAAACATGTGCATCATATTTTGACATTAACAATTAGCGCAAGTTGAGATTTGTTTTTGATCCACAAGTTTCCTAGTTCTTTAGTCAAAAGATGATATTGCAATGATTTTGACATTTCAGAGACGATATTACTCTAGTCACTCATTTACGATATCCAATGCTTCTTAAGAAATGTTCAGGGATGAAATGCTATTTAACCTTGAAAACAAAAATTTGTATTACTAAACTTGTACTAAAACATGCCAATTAATATCACAAAAATTACCAATTTACCATACTTTTGAGAATGCTTTTCGATGCTGTTAGAACTCTTTCACTAAACTCATTTATAAATCTTTCAATGTTTAAAAATCCAATGAAAAGAGACTCATTTTTATAACTTTATACTCCCCCAATGCTTCAAACAAAAGGCATCAATGGTTAGCTCACAGAGACCAATTAAATTGGTTTTCAGGGCCACTTATTTAACATTAAGAAAAAAAGTGTTTTTGATTGAGTTATATACGTAGTTGTTAGAAAAGCATGAGGTGTTGTTGGAACAAAATTTGTTATTAGATTATTTGATAAGCTAATCAAAATCATTTATCAAAATGAATTGAAAATAAGTTTTATTCCAACAACCTCTCATGTTTAACTTTTGATTCTCTAGAGACTTTTTCATATAACTTAATTAAAATCAATTTTTGCAGGGCCTTAAATTAGTTAAATTAATTGAATTTGTAGCCAAAAACATAATTTTTTAGTTTACTTTCATCTTATGAATTATTTTACCAAGAATGTATTTAATATTCGTAAAACCTTAGTAATATGAGCTGAGTCAACCCACTAAAAAGTGATAAATAGATTGGTGAAATAGCAGTTTGCTTTGACACGGACACTCCACCTATGGCACCAATTCACTTTTTTTTAGCATTTTTTATTATTCATTTAAAAAAAGTTATCTTTTTTCATTTAATTTAAACACAATGACTTGATTCTACATTTGTTATGTCATTTACTTTTACTGATTAATCATTTTTATATTGACAAAATAATTATGTAAGATAAACCATATTTTTTATATTTATAAATTTCGGGGGTAACTTACTTATAACCTTTAAGAAATTAAAATAAATTGAATTTAGTTTATACAATTTTTAATAATTTTAAAAATTTATAAATTCTTGAAAATGTTAAAAAAAGGGGAAAAGGGTAAGTTGTTGAGTTGACCTAGAATGAAATGGGTTATCACTTTTTCAAGTGGGCTAATTTTAGCTCACCCTGCTAATCAAGGCCCCCAGTGGGTTATTATAATTCACTGTCTTTTCAGGCAAAAAAAAAAAATGCTTTTTACCAAATGTAATTCACGGTTTAACCGTTATTAAGTAGTAG